ACTCAGAGATATGGCTTCCAGATACGAGTTCACTCTCAACTGGCTATGGGGACTCAGCGCCCAAACAACTCACTGTTCACACACATCGGATCACCCTGGATATCCCACACGCGTCACTCTGAACACTCACACATACACACACACACTTCACACTAAACTACCGCTATGGCAGCCTCTACCCTATCGCTACACTAAGCTCCTTCTCTCTCGCCCACTGCGTCCTCCGGGCATACTGCAGACCTCCTTGCACAAGTCGCTGTGACAGCGCTTCCAGGAATGAATGAAAGGGTGGGCGCTGCCTCTTGATTTATACTTTGGAAACTCGTTGGTCTGCCCTTTGCCATCGGCCCATGGTGCTCACAGTCCCCCGTGGTACTTGCTGGACTGGACTGGGACTGACTGGACCTTACCACTGACTGACCGTGGACTCACAGCTATCCTACCGAGGTCGTACTGCGATTGCACTGCAGTTTAGTCCACCACTTGCCTCGCCACTTGCCCACTTGCCCACTTGCCTACCTTCTAGAAGGACTACAGCTAGACTTCTGGAACTCGCTAAGACTTCTACCCTATAGATCTACAGATCGAACCCTTGCTACCTATGGACCTATGACAGACCTACCAACTGTCTACGAATACACAGGTCACAGGTTCAACTCTCGGGTCTACACAGATACTGTACGTGGGTAGGGTGAGGTCTAGGCATCGAGCCCTGGAATCCGCATCTGTTACTGCAAAGAGGTGAAAACCGTTTCAGTTCTCACTGAGGCTCATTTCTCTCCTTTCCCCCCGCTTTTTTTTTTTGTGGGGGGGTGGGGGGGGGAGGTGGGGAAGGGGTGGATATTTTTGGTGCTTCATAAAGGCTCTTTCAAAAAATGTCCATTCCAGTTTTTTACACTCAAAAAGATTGTTTTTGTTTCCTTTTTTGTTCTTGTTTCTTTCGTTGTGTTGTACTGCTCTTCTTATAGTTTGGGTGCTTTGTGAATTTGCAGGCTAGTCAGCGGTAAAGGATTTTCAATAAAGCGACTTAATAAACTTAAATAAAGATAGTTTAATGACCTTGAGACTGTATGGTAAATGTAGTCCAGACAATGCAAGGAATGACATAGTAGATATCACAGCGTAGTAGCATAGTAGCATAGTAGCATAGTAGCATACTAAGGAGCATAGTGCGAGGAATGAGCCCACACGGGGCCCTTATCAGACATGCAAGTGCTCTGGGCCGCGGCCCCAGCAACCTCGTGCCCCTCGTAAGTGAAGGCGGGCCTGAATATCCACGAGAGACCTTTTTACGACATTTTTCCATATGTGGGGAAGCAGAAAGTTGCAGCACATCAGTTGGTTACAGAGCAACGTGAGCCTTCAGGCTCCTCCCAGAGGGAAGGGTAGTTGAGCCCAGGGCTCAGGTGGTTGCACCCTGGGCACATGTGGTGTGAGGCTGACACATCACAGACTGGCCGCGAGCAAATGAGAAAGCAGCATCGTCGTCACACAGGACCACGAGCCGATGAGGATGCAGGGTGGCTGCTTGACCGTGCCCAACTGAAAAGGGCCCAGGCACGTAACAGCAGGGTGCGGCCTGGGCACAGACACTGGGGCCCGACCAGAAGCTACTGGAAACCTCCCAGGCCAGGCTCACGCAACCAGAGGAAGGGCGCACTTTCCATAAAGGAAAGTGCCTCGCCCAGGCAGCCTCATTCGGGCCTTGGCAGGCAATGCGGACACGCTGCTGCATTGCTGCGCTAGTGTCTGCATGGGTGCTGCTGGTCGGACGTGCGCACGGGCGCTGCGGTGAGGGGCGCTGCTGATGCAATGGGCGCACAGCAGCCATAGCCGGTCTGCAGGGGTGCAGGCAGGTGATGGCGATGGTGGTCTTCGGGTAGGAGGCACATGCAGAGGGGATCAAGGTCTGATGAGTGGAGGAGAGAGAACGTACCTGGTGTATGCTGGTGGTCGGCATTGGTGTTGACGTCACGTACATTGGTCTTCAACTTCGATGTGATCCAATCGCATGAACATAGATAGGATAGATAGGCTGAGTAGAGTAGGCTGGGCACTGGGCGCCAGGCAGTAGGAGCGGCATTGGATACGGTGTTGGTGTGACCAGGGAGCGTCGGCATTGGCACTCGAGTTCATTGTATTGCTCTTATTTGGATGGAATCTTTGTGCATTGTGCTCTCTGCTTGCCACATGACTATCTGGACTACTTCGTGATTTTGCAACTTGCTTTTCTGTCTATCGCTCTCGCTCATATTCCTTGCGATGGGCATTAAATGTTGGTGAGAAGCTCCCAGCCAATTCCAAAAGGAGATCAGGAGTTATCTCCTGTTGACGATTCTGGAAGTAGTTCAGGAATAAAAAAAATTGCGACCTTCAACAAGGTATGGCTTGTCCAAGGGAAGATAGCTGAGATCCAGGATCTACAAATAAGATGGAAAGACTGGCACAATTCGTCGATCCCCCAGAGGAGGACAACTCCAGACCATGAAGAGCAACAGGACTTCAGGGCAACATAAGTTCCGTTGAGCCTAGATCAGATGGTGCTCTTGGGAAAAAAAAAAAAAAAAAAAAAAAAAAACAACTAGGCTGGTCTCCGGGCCGCCCGGCGGCCTGGCCGGTTATCGCGCCCGGTTGGCCACCGGGCGCCCCCAGCCCATCACTGTAGGTTAGGTTTTTTTTTTTTTTTTTCGGTGCTGAGGCCCTTTTTGTCCCCTTCGTAGACCGTGTGGACCACGAAAAAAAAAAAAACGGGGCCGGTAGGACCGATTTCACCGATTTGAAATCGGGCCCCATCTGGATCGTCGATCTCGAAGATCGACGGCCCAGATTGCACCGATTTCAAATCGGTGAGGGCGGGAACTACCGGCCCCCGTTCCCTCCCCCGTGCTGAAGATGTGCCCC